TCCTAGCCTTCTCCAACTTCTGAACCAACTTCATCCATCTGTTTTCAAAGATGAACACCTAAATCCTTTGCTTAACAGAATCCAGACAAAAGAAAGTTTAAAGAGATAAATTGAATAATATTGATATTCCTATTAGCATGTTGTGCACCAAATTTTCACAATTCTTCTCCCATTTTGTTTTTATACCCTGATGGGTATAAGGGTATATTGTATTTGTGCAAAATCCAAATGTATGTAACAGGCAGAAGGAAGCATCTCTGACCACATAAAGTATATATATTCTTGATCAGCACCAATAGCCGAGTCGATCTAGCCATGTCCGTCTCTCTGTCCGTCCGTCCGTCCGTCCGTATGTATGAACGCAAGGATCTCAGAACCTATAAGAGCTAGAGACTTGAAATTTTAGATGTAGATGCTAGATGCTAGACTCGATGCTAGTTCCCGCGCAGATCGAGTTTGTTTCCGGTAATCGATAACTTACTCCGTTTCCAAGCAATCGATACAAATCTATATCGATATCCTGTTTTTTGGGCAATTTTGGTAAATAATAATAGCTAGAGTCACCAAACTTGACATGTAGCTTCTAAAATAAAATAAATATATATGCATTTGATGTTGGAAGAAGAGGGTTCAGGGTATCCCCTAGTCGGGAGCTCCCGACTAGAACCTCTTACTTGTTAAATTAAAAGCTGTACGTCAGATTTGACTGGATATCTTCACCCACAGATAATCGTGAATAATTAGCTAATTAATGCAAATTCGTCTTAGATCTATAATTAAAACTTCGCAAATTTCGCAATATGACAAAATATAGAAGGGCATCTATAACATATCAATCGAAATGATAATCAGTTGAGCCACAAAATACGAGTGAAATTCTATGCGAACAATGCCACAAAAACCTCGGCAATTAAACCCATTGTATTAGAGAGCAGAGGGCATACAAAAGTGTGCAAAAAAAGAAAAGGAATCAAAAGGGAAGGGTGCAAAATATAATAATAGACACAAAATCGCATCAAATTTCACAATATCGCACCTTATTAGAATCGAACAAAGAACTGAATGGCAAAGATACAAATAGAGATGCGGCCAACAAAGACTTGGAGAGAAACCAATATGCAAAACCACCTAGAGAATGGCATGTATGGATCGCTGAATGCCAGTACAACAAAAAGGCGCACACGGCCAACAAAAAGTTATGAGAAAAACATACACACCTCGCCTCTTGGGTCTGTCTGCACCGCATAGGGCTAATCGGAGCACCCCACTCGATGTATAGTATTGTGCGCATTGTGTAATAATTTCATAAATAGTTTATAAATAAGAATCGCTGAATGCCGACTAAATGCTTTTGCGAAATGCACGGGTTACATTTGAACCCGCAGCCAGTCAGAAGCGGCATCACACGCACAAGAATCGAACCCGAGTCCTTTTCTTATGCTAAAATCAATGACGGGCTGCTGGGCTGGGTCTCACCTTTGCGCCGAGGGTTGTGCAACCCCTGAGTACCCCGGGTACCCCGCGTATACTTCACGGCGATTCTCAGTGAAAGCAATTTTGTGTGTTTTGATTATGTCTGGAGTTTAGAAACCATAAATCTATTGATGGCATTGATGCCGCCTTTCTACAGCATCGAATTATCTTTTGGCATTGAAATCATGCACACAAACACACGCATAATATTTAAATCAAAGTAGTTTTCATTTGCATAATGCCTCGAGACAGAGGGATGCACTGAAAGATAAAATTTGACTATGGCATGTTTTTTTTTCTTAACTTAAACTATAGATCTTTAATATGTAGATTCCTCAGCGGAATCTTTTTAGACCTAATAACGTACGCACAAGACAAATATAAGTAGCTGAAAAAAAAACGTTTAAAACGTTTTTAAACTATGTTTTTTTTATGTTTATATATACCTGAGAGCAAAATATAAAAGCAAATAAATAAATCATTCCGTAATACACTTTTTATTTACTCTGATTTAAATTGCTGTCTGGATTTTTCCCCACTCTATACTTAGTCTTTATTTGCTTCGTGCAGTGTCTCAACGAATATACTGTTTTCTTGCAGTGTCCTTTCTCAGCTCAGTCCTCAGACAGATGTCAGTCATTTTTTTTATCAACTCACTTTCCTGGGTTACCTCAAGCATTGCAATCTAATTATCATATCAATCATGCCAGGAGACAAGAAAAAGTGACAGTGGGCAAAAGAATCCTGTGCCAGGATAGATCCTCAGCTTGTTGTTTGGTTTTTTTTTCTCATTCGTTCTCATAGTTAACATAACAAAGGCTGATGATGCACACAGAAGGTAGGGAAGAGGAACAGACTCGTGATGATTTCAGCACCCAAATGACAAGACAGCCCATATGCGGATTTCGGACACCCCAGAAGCTGTGAGATCAGGTAAGGTAACACACATTGCCGAGATATCGGAGATAACTATGCAGCCAAACAATCGCCTGATCATTAGTGCATTTATAATAATGTATATTGATATGCTAATCAATGACTAGGCATAGGCGCATGGGAGCCCCAAGTCGAATGGTCCGTTGCGTTTATGATCGATGCGATCGCGAGTTGGCAAAAAAAAAAAAGAAAATCAAATCATTTATCAATTAAATTATTGGCAAACATTGCGTAGCGCCCTCGTTATAAAGAGATCGCACTTCATCTAAGAAAGGGTTGCACAAACAATTGCCAAATTTCAATTTCGCACAATGCCCGAAAAACTGCCAAATGATTGATTATAGATCGGTGTATTTGCCATTGTCGGGAGATCTTTGTTTTCGGCTTTATGAGTTGTGCTCTGCGGTGTGTTGCCAATTCTGTCCCCGTTCGCTCTTTTGTGTGCCGATCTCTGACGGGTTTAGCGATGATTTGTTGGTTTATTGTCGGCAATCCTTAAAGTAGGGGTGTCTTTTCTGCAAAAAAAAAAACCGAAAATAAAAAGAAGAATAAAGGCTGCTAAGGATCACACTCGTGCCCAAATGCTTCGCAAATATCCTTAAAAGTGCTTTGTTTTCTGCGCTTTCCATTTGCTGACACACAGACAATTGTCGAACCCTTTTATGTCCTTTTACAAATAAAAACTGTACGTTTCATTGACTTCTTGTGGGTGCTGTTTTTCTCTTCTTTTTTCATTCAATTGTCGGTAGGTATTTACCGGATTTTAACGAGCCCATCAAAGGAGCTAACTTTTATGAGCCCTATAAAAATATCGTAAAATTCTTTTGTTTCGCTCAATTTATTGCTTGTTTGTGTGTGTTTGCCCATTTTTATTTGCTCTTTTATGTATATTTAACACAATTTGGTGCTATTAATAATGGCATTCAAACGCTCGCACAGACTCTTGTGCAAAACACCTGTTAAGAACTGGAACTGGTTTGGATGTCTTCGCGGTTTTAGTTTTTCATGTGTAGAGGGGAATTTAGGTTTTAGTTTTAGCTCAATAATTTGGCGTGAAATTAATTTTTGTAGTTTCATTTATAAATGTATTTTGTAGTTTCATTTATACATATACAATTATAAATGAAACTACAAAATACACATCAAATTAATTTCACGCCAAATATATATATGGAACTAGTATTCGATTTGTAGGCTCTCTCACAATAAACACCATCAATGAATTATTTATATAAAAGCCTTTCCTATCTTTTATATTCTCTGACTGTGCCAATTCCAAAGCTTGTATTTATTCATATCCATACTTTTTTTCTATTTAATCCAGCCGCGTTCAACAACAAACAAAATCTCACAAATCTTTAGGCTTCTTTTGAGAACCTTTGATGTACTCGTTTTTGAAGTGGACACTTGTGGCCATAAGTTAAAATTCGTGATGCACTTAGTAGTCTTTATAAGCAGCTTGTTGCTGCTATCAAATGAAATGAAGAATTAAATGAAATGCCGAATATGATATACACTTACACGGTATTCATACATGATAAACAGCAATCCGATTGAAAGCAAAAGCAAAGTTAAATTCCAAATATATTTTGATTTACAATAAAATGCAAAATTTTCAAGGAAAACATTTTTATCTATAGTTTTAATGGCTTTCAGATATTCAGATAAAAATTGTATCTGCCGAAAAATAGTTCTTTTACTGTAATTTCTTTATGTGGAATTCAGAAAATTAAAGAACATTTTATTGGGTTACCTAAGAAAACAGACATATGATCTGCAAACTAAACATATAATATTATATTTTATAATAGCCCGCTACAACTTGAATGACTTAGCTAAAATGTTGAGTATTTTAAGAGTTAATTTATTGAAGAAAAAAGTCTGAGTAATTCGTATTTATTGTATTAGTATTTCTCATATCCGTTTCAAAGTTCAAGCGAATCTCATATTGTAATATCTAAATTTAACTTGATTCAACTGTCCATATTCAAATTATGCTTGGCTCAGGCAATTCCATCATTAATCTTCGATGGCGACGTCAATCGCGGCAACAGCAGCTGCTGCTAATTAAATTTGGTGTTGGATATTTTCTACTGCCAGTTGAGCTGAGGGTAATCGGGATACGAATAGAATCGGTGTCTGTGGGATGCATCGAAGAACATAAATCTCGTATGTCGCCTCGAGCATATTGTATTCGAAGGATGTTTCCTTTGCTTCCTTTCGGCCAACCTAAGCGGATTACGTGCACTTTTCTACACGGTTGCATCTTTTGATCCTTGAGCGCTGATAAATGTAGGAGCTGCGGTTGCCTGCGCTCACTTCGAATAGCGTACGAAATTTAAATATTACAATTAACAATCTATAATATAAGAGATATCTTGGCTGATGAACTCAGGTGTGTGAGCTTCGAACTATCGAGCGGAAGGTCAACGGTTCAAATTTTGCAGCAATTTTCAATCCTAAGTTCTGTTTAATTTTGTATTATAACAAAAAAGCAATGGTAATTTTAAAGCAATTTGGTATTCTTAGTATTTTATAAATATTGTTCGATTTTTATTCATGTTTTTTTACATTGTTTGCTAATTTTTGTTAAATAAACATCTGCTTACAAGTTGCATAAATATATAAAATATCCTATACACATCGGTAGAATTGTAAAATTGAATTATATATAGATACAGATTGTTGATTGTATTAACCACGTTGATACGTTGACTTGTACAGCACATTATTATAATCTTGTATGTGCAAATATGTACAAATTTTTGTTGATATATAACTATCGCAGTACTTTGTACGGCACCTATGATACTCTATATTATAGATTGTTGTACAGGCTTTTAGGATATATCATAATGTATTCAAAAACTTTAAGCAACTCGAAACGATGAAGTTTCGAGTTGAACAGAGTTTTGGGCGTATATTTATCTGGCTTGTAAATATTGCTTATTGGTTAGAAATTGTGTTCTTAGAGCTAAGCGAAAAACCTGAGTCTGCTTGGAAAGAGAATGTCCAAACGGGATCTGCGCTGGGGTGCTGCCAGTGCCTGGTTTCGTCTATGTGTGTCTATATATTTTTTTGAGGCAGTGTAGGGTTATTGAATCTGTAAGTATGCTTCGATGTGGCACTGCAGTGCCGCCTTGGCTATAAAGTGCTTTGGTATAAGAATCCTTTACAGGCTAGTGGGGTATACTTCAGGTCACACACTTTGCCAGCGCGGACTGAGGTGCTACATCAAAGATGAAAGCGAATACCAAGCATTGACAGCAATCCAAATCGGACTAAGCTAAGCCTAACTTAATCTTAACTTAAGAGGTTGTTGTCATCGTAGCTCTTGCTCTTTTGGCAGCCGTTTGTGGCCAACCGCCCGATACTATTGAGCCTTCTCCTTGGCGACGGCGCTGAGACCTAATGCCAAATGATCGCTGGGTATGAGCCCGGCACCAGGCTGATGTGCATAGTTGCGTATCTGATGCAGCGAAATCAGCTGCGTAGGAAAGGCGGCAGCAGCGGCTGCGGCATTCTGCTGGTACAGGTAGGCAGCGGTGGCTGAAGGCGGTGCACGATGCTGTTGCAGATGCGAGGCCGGTGGTGCAACTGCGGCGCTTAGCGGCGTAAAGGCCGAGGTGCCCGGTCCGGGTGAATGCGAATGCGATGCCTGCTGTTGCTGTTGGTGCTGTTGTTGCTGTTGCTGCTGCTGTTGCTGCTGTAGATGATGCTGTGGCGTGGTCTGGCGCAGCACCAGATCCTCGCCGACTTCGTCGTGGGGACTTTGCGAGTGGCCGGGCGTTTCCGTTCCGCCGTTGACCAAACGCTGATGATGCTGCTGCAGCAGTTCCTGCTGCTGATGCTGTTGTTGGAGTGTCGCAAAGTTCGCGTAGGAGCTGCCATTAGCCTGCGGCAGTTGCTGCTGTATGGCCTCCGCCAGCGTGGCGGCGGCGCTATCGGCGCCCATTTTGGCCCAGTACGCGGCATTGGCATCATTCATGGCCTGACGCTGCAGATTCAGGCCAATGCCGCCGGCGGGCACGTGCTGCTGCAGATTGGTGAGGGGCGCCGTGTGGCGCTGCTGCTGTTTCTCGACCTTTTCAGCGTGCTTCTGCAAATGCTTCTGCAGGTACGTCTCCTGCGTGTAGGACTTGCCGCACAGCTGGCAAATGTGCGTCTTCAGGTGCTTGGAGTCCTTGTGCTTGGGTATGTGCTCCAGAAGCGTCACCTCATCGCCAAAGCACTTATAGCACGAGTTGCATTTGAACGGTTTATCCGTCTGATGGCAGCGCGAATGCGACTGCAAATTGGACAGCTGGGAGAACGCCTTGGGGCAGCCGGCGTGCCGGCATTTGTATGGCTTATCGCCCGTATGGGTGCGTATGTGCTGCTGCAGGTGCGACAACTGCGTGAACTTGCGCTGGCAAATCTCGCAGCGGTACGGCTTGATGCCCAAATGGATGCGCGTGTGTTGCGACAGATACGACGAATTGGCAAAGGATTTACTGCACGAGGCGCACTTGTACGGCTTCGTCTGCTCGCCACCCTGACGCTGATCCTCCGGCGATGAGCCGCTGCTGCCATTGCTGCCCTGTTGTCGAGAAGGCGAACGACTTGGATCGTACTAAAATAGATCAACAATGAGAGACTTTTTAGTAAACAGGAATTCGAATCCTAATATGCTGTTTAAAATTACTAATTATAATAATTATTATGCAATGATTTTTTGGATAAACAGCTAAGAGCTGCGGGCTACTTCGAAATTAAAAAAGTCTATTTCTTAGTCTTTTTCTGCTATAAAAATGTATGTTGATTGCCAATCTAGTAATTTCTGTTCACTTGTTGACGCTAGGTTAAATGACTCTCAGCCCTATTTAAACTATTTCCAGAGTTGAGCTATGACAGGTCAGTTTAAAGAACGACGAGAAACTGTTCAATCATCTCAATCAAATCAGCAACGAAACTCTGAAATGACTTCCAACCCAATCACCATGATTCATGATTATAAGTCTTTGCATTTCACTTATTTATATTTATGTTAAAGCTTGGCAATATTTGTTCAAATTATTTGCGATCCAGTTTAAGACTTAGATATTGTTTGCTATTTAAACAAGTGTCTCTTATACTTTACTCATTGTTCGAGGTTAATGTCGTTTATATTTATTTTGCCTGAAGTCTTGTGCTCAATTTCTTTAGCGATAAAAGCAATAAGCCAACATCAGAAATTAATAGAATAACAGCTAGAAAACATAACAAAAATAAGTAAGACTGAAGTGTAAACAGGTCGAGGAACTTTTTTTTAATTACTCCCAAACTGTAACTACTGGGCGGTGACATTAAAACTGGGCATTTAGCTGTAAGGTACGTGTCAAAGTTGTTGACTTTTCCTTTATCGCAGCCTCCTGAAGGGTCTGCCCAAAAATACTTAAACACAAAAATCTAAAGCAAGTATAGGATATATTCCCATTGGCAGACAAATGGTCAGCAATGTGAATATACTCTCTTTCACTTTATGAGCGGAGTACAATAATTTGAGACTAGCCACAAACATTTAAAAATTGTACTTAAGAATCGATTATGCATAATTCCTAATCCTAATGCCTACGCCCTATGCCGAATGCCAGACTCACCTTTTGCTCCTGCTGCTCGCTGAGCTGTGTGGGCGTTGGCGGCGAACTTGGCGCACTATAATTGCCCTTTAGCTGCGACTGATGATGCAACTGTTGCTGCTGCTGCTGCTGGGGCTGCTGCTGGTCGGAATCATGCTGATGCGTCTGTTGATGCTGCTGCTCGACAAGTATTTGCTGCTGCTGCTGCTGCTGCTGGACAAGGCCGTTCTTCAGGGAATAGTCCAAACGCTCCACGTTCTGACGGAACTCGCTGATGTTGAAGGGCTTGTACTCGTGGACCAGCTGGGCAGTGCGCAGATCCGCCTGCGTCAGGTGGCTGAGGGTGCGCAGCTGATCGATGGACCGATGCAGATAATCACCACCAGCCCCGAGGGCAGCGCCGTTTGGCGTCGTTGGCAGTTCGGCCATAAGCGGCTGCCCGCCCAGGTTCAGGGGTCGATAGGCGATGGTGCGAGCGTCCAGATTGGGGCCTTCAAGCTATGCTTTACCAAATATTGAACAACGTGCAGCGGGACCGAGCCGGGCGACGATCGCGGCTAAAATGAAACCGACACTTGGCCCCGCAGCGGCTTACACAACTTCTTTTTGTGTTTTTTTATACGTTTTGTGCTGAAAATACAGAAATATTGTAATTGTTATTTAGGCTTCCGTCGCTTTGGGCGCAAATTTCTGTACAGTCGACAGAACTGTTAAACTACTTTTTCCATTGGGTTTTCGGTTTTTTTATGCACATACACATAAATAGTTGGGTATTTTTTTGAAACGACTTTTTGTACATAAATTTCAGCATTTTAACATAAATGTGCATGAATTAATTAATTGTTTATGAATTAAACGTGCAATAAATAAAACGAAACTCGTTGCAACCAATGCAAGAATTGCACGAAAAAAAAACAATGCCAAAAAACACAAGATAAACAAAAAAGGCGCTTGTGCCAAGCAAAAAATGAAAATAGTCGATGTGACAACACAACGTTTAAATTAAATAAAAATATATAATTTCTTCTCTTTTTGTACATTTTGTACACATTTCATCAAGCACAAAGCGACACTGAGATCAGCGCCAGGGCGGGCAGTGCACAGCAGGGAGGAGGCCAGCACAGAGTCAGGGGCGCCAGTGGAACGTGTCAATCACCTCGAACTGAAGAGCAACACCACAACACGAAAATGGGCCAACCATTCGCTAATCTGTGACAAGATGAACCCCGGCAGATTCGAAATAAAGAATAGACGGGGCACTTATCTGATTGGGAATACATTAAAGAACTGCAGAATAACAATATGTAGCTACATACTTTTCTATAATATTAGATAAACGATAAATGCTGCAAGCAAATACTTAAATTTGTTGTTTTTTATTACTATTATTGATAAGTTTAATATTATTATTATATTTATTAGTATTATCATAAGTACTATTATTAGTATTGTTATTAGTATTATTATTAGTATAATTACTAATTTTATTATTATTTTAGTTATTATTTTAATGATAAAAACTTTAAAATCAAACCAATTTCTATATGAATCGAAATTTAAATAAGAGATAACATTCAAGCGATACATATTCAAAAATCATTCCAATGTTATTTTTATGGTTACAATTACAGGCGTTTAAAGGTTGTCCTACGTCTTCGATAAGAAGAACAGCACAGAAAACTTAAAAAAGATTGTTTGGGTTGATCAAATGTTAGTATGTAGCATTATTATACCCTGAACCCATTAAAAATGGGTATAAGGGTATATTGTATTTATGCAAACTCCAAATGTATGTAACAGGCAGAAGGATGTATCTCCGATAAAAATCGATATCGATATTCTGTTTTTTGGGCAATTTTAGTAAATAATAAGAGCTAGAGTCACCAAACTTGGCATATAGCTTCTAAAATAAAATATATATATGTATTTGATGTTGGAAGAAGTGGGTTCAGGGTATCCCCTATTCGGGAGCTCCCGACTAGAGCCTCTTACTTGTTTTTCTGTTCAAGATGGCAAACTTTCGATTATATACTTAAAAAGAAAAGAAAACATTTTCAAATATGTATGTTTGTATGTTTGTATTTTTCTTCCGCGAGATTCTCATTTTGCAGCTAAGCTTTTGGTTTTGCCTGGAGAAGTCCATTTTAAACGGGATAAAAAATGGATTATTAAACTCTTAACTAGAGCTCTTGTCAAACAAAAGCAAATGCAAAAGTTCTATTCATCTTTATTTTAATCATTCAAATCATAAGAAAGATAAGTTGACAGCCACCCGAATGAGCTTGATCAAATAATATGAGATTATTAAGATGCCAAAATATAAAATCCACTATTTCGAAGAAATAACAATTTCTAAGTATCGGCATTAGATCGCTTGTTTATCTTATATAGGTTAAAGCTTATATGTTAAATAAACTTTTTGTTGTACAGTTGTAAACATTAAAAAAAATGGAAAAATAAGTAAGTTAACGGGAAAGTGTCTGGGTGTATGTGATAAGACGCCTTATCTATAGGTGTTTACACATTCATATGTATGTATGCTTTATAGTAAGTCTAACGCAGGGTCAGGCTATAAAAATAAGCTAAGAATCATAAAATCATATATAACATTTCAATATTTTATATGGTGCATACACAATTGTATCTTGTATCAGAAAGTTTATTATTTGTCATATTTAATCTATCTTTTTAGGCGTAATATACAAAACCGAATAGGTGCGTGTGAGTTGTCGCGGCGCCTCTTGTTTTAATCCTTCGGGAGCATTGAAACACATTGCTGACCCACAAACAATAAATGAGTGAGAATTTGTAAACATAAACCTGTCACAGGTGTCTGCGCGTCTTGTTTTTACGCGTGTTTTCATTATCAATTTTATACCGTTTTGTTGGTTTTCCTTTCTTTTTTTTAATAAAACAAAAAAATCAATAAAAAGAAAAACAATCAGAATTGGCGCGCGCCGCGTCGCATCGGAATAAAGCAAATTGAGTTATTACTCGCCGAGAGAGACAAAAAAGCGTGAGTGAGACGGTGAGCCACAGAAGAGTGGGAGAATGAGTGACACACATACAGACACACAGACGCAATGCGTAGCTGATTTGTTGTTGCTGACGCTGCTGCGCAGTTGACGTCAGAAGCAGAGTTTTTGTGCTTGGTTTTCGTTTTTTTCTTAAAACATTTTTATAGCTGACTGGTCAAAAGAACCGGTTGTTGTTGCTGTTGTAGTTGTTGTTTCTATTTGTACTGACGTCGGTCCGTCAGTTGCAAAGTAGGCTGACGAGGGCAGGGCAAGGGGAGGGTGCGGACACAGGATGCTCTAGACGCTTGTTGAGCAAGCAGAGGTTAGAGGGGGTTAAAAGGTGCTTAGACAGTGGTTTATTATTATTCGCAAAAAGTTATTGTCAGGGATAGAACTGTATATGTACATACATGTATGTACGTAAAATAAAATAAACTGTCTTTCTTATTTATTGAAAGTAGCGTCAAACAAATAAACATACGCACACACGCATACAAATGCAACTACAACTAAAGGCGGAATCACTCAAGCGGCCCCAAAAGCACGCCAACGCCAACGTTGCTGTCCAGAAGCAAATAAAAAAAATGGTATACACAAAAAAATTCACCGAACTCACACAAAAAACTTACAAGCACACACACACACAAACAATGTACAAAAAACGAATCAACGAAAATTAATTGAGCACGAGCAGCGACCGCAGCTGAGCAGCATAAGAGCGCAAGAGAGAGCGAGCGAGCAACATAAACAAATGAAGAGCCGGACAGAGGCAAGCTGCGAAAAAAGGGAATAAAAGCTTGTAGTGTAAAGCAAATAAAAGAAAAACGGCAAATGATAGCGGGGGCGACATGTGCAAAAAACAAAAAAAATTATGCGCGCGAGAGCAAAAAACAGTGGAGATAAAAAAGACGACACACAAACCGCCACCGAATGAATGGCACATAAAGAAGTCAAACAATGGCCAGGGCGGGTGGGAAAATATTGGCAGCCGCCGCTGCACAGTGTCACAATTCCATTTGATAAGGCATTTTTTGATTTGATTACTGGTTTTCGAAAGTGCATAATTTAGCAAATTGTGAAATTGTTTAATTGTTACTAAGATTCAATATTAAATAAGTTACATAGAAATGGTGGATAAACTCATAAAACTACCAAAATCTAATAAAAATAAAGTTTTTTAAAAGAATACCAACTTTCTTAAACTTTACTTTCTTACTTCCATAGATTTAGTGCATAATAATATATTATATATAAATATGAAAAGTCAGTTTTAGTTTATGGAATCTATTCAGAGATTCCTCTTTGTAAATTTTCTTTTATATACAATTCACAATCGACCACTGTCAGTGCGTTCAAAAAAAACTATTTGACCAATAAAATACAAATAAAACACGGGTTGAAGTACTTACCAATTGGAAATGGCTCACGTTGTTGTTGTGTTCCTTTTTTTGTTTTTTTTTTTCGCGCTCGGCTCTGTTTATATTTTCGTAGTAAAAGCACGTGTTCTGCGTGACCTATAAGAGAGGGGGAGTAGCGGGCAGATATTTGCGTCGCGTAATTCTATCTTAAGCCCGCGTTTCCTGAATTAACGTTTTCAGTTTCCGTGATGCATTGAGTGCAGTAGTATGAATCTTTGGCGTAGGGATTTATTAAATCAACTTATTACACGCACATTTACCTCGCCAGGTAAACAACTCTCTTTTTTTGTTAAATTTTGTCTATTTGCACTTTTTACGGTTTCTCCTCTTACGAATTTCGAGTACACTAAGCACACGCACACATACACATACAAATAGACACTTGAGAGCTAAGGAAAAAAATGGCCGCGCACGCCAAAAATATATATACACACACCAACGCACACTAGTGTTCGTGTTTGTGTTTTTGCACTTGTGCTGCCCCTTTTCTTTGCAGAATTTGGCGCGACTTAATTTTGGCGCCTTGATTAATTACAAGTGATGGGCTACGGGAAGGTCGTGCGATTCACAGCACGCTAGTTTCGGATTTGGTATGAACTTCTTTCGCCTCGCGTTGTTTACATGCTGTGCGTGCGCGAACAACAAATCACAACGAAAAACGCAAAAAGACGGGTGAGAAGAAGAAGAACCGTTCGGTTCGATGGCAAAAACTCGACTGAAAAAAATCACTCAACTTTTTTCATGACATCGCAAACAGCAAGCAGCTGTAGCGTGAGTACCTGGGTGTGTGTGCGTGTTTGCTCTCGAACTCTCTCACTCTCGCACACGCAAAGAAAAAATGCTTGTTTATGTTTTTTATGTGTATGTTTTTTGCCTACCACTATTGCGCTCTCTGTCTTCCCCTTGTACTCTCTGGTACTCTCTTTGTGTTTTATTCCGGTTTTTCTCTGATTGGTTGTCGACATTTGTTGGCACTTCTAGTACCCTGTGTTTTTTGTGTTTACGCTATTCTTATACATAGGTACACTTAAAATCTATTCAAATATTTAAATCGTATGTAGTTAAATTTTCTAGCAGTGCGTTATTCACGTATAAAACGTTACATAAATTATATAAACAGTTTTAGGCATATATTTGTGTGTATATGTATTTATACATGTT